GGAGGGCGACGTGCGCTGGCGGCGCCTCTTCTCCTCCACCCACTTCTTCCTGCGCGTGGACCCGGGCGGCCGAGTGCAGGGCACCCGCTGGCGCCACAGCCCCGACAGTGAGTGCGCTCCAGAGGGCACCCCGGAGGCGGCGGCCAGGACAGCGGGCGGGGACGGGGCGGCCGGCCGGAAAGTATGTGGAGCACCTGTTGATCCCCACAACGGCTGCTCCGGCTTTGCGGCCAAGTCATTTCGTTTGGGGTGCTCCCGTTTCCGTCCTCATAACAGGGAGACAAGTGGACAGGGGGACGCAGAGCAAGTGCCCAGCTCCAGGTCCGACTCCGATGCCAAAAAGAGCCTTTACGGAATGGTCCTGAGGTTGGGGAAACCCGAGCTCCAGGCCTGGGACCTAGTGGGATGTAGGAAGGGTCTGAACTGGGGCTCTTGTGCCTCCTCTCCACTGGTGATGGGGGCATGGAGACAGAGAGGGGCTGGCCGCCCCAGGGCCAGCCTGCAGGGGTGGGGATGGATCCACGCTGAGCTGGAGTCGTGGTCACCTGCGCTGTCCCCTAGAGCCTTGCCCATCAAAAAGCAGGCACTCACTCTGACTCTATGGGAGGGCGTGGCAGGCAGCATCGGCTGGCCATCCCCAGAGCCAGGGCAGCTGGTGGATGGGCTTCAGCTTCCCTTCAGCTCTGAGGGGGCCTGGGTGAGAGCCACTAGGGAGGGGGGCCAGCAAATGGCTGACCGCCTGCTGAATCACCACCATTAGGGCAGGTAATCACCGCTGCCTCTCCCAGCTGCTTTCATCTGGGGCTGTCAAGGCCCTCATTAGACTGGATGGGACAGAGGGCAGGTGACTGGGACTGGCTGGGCCGGTCGGTCAGTGGTGGGCATGGTCAGGTGGGGTGGCCTCAGGCTGGGGGTGAGGCCTGGCCACACTGCGTGACCTGGGACAGTGGCTGCCTCTCTTGGGACCTGGCTTCCCCGTGTGTGTGGGCAGCTGGGGATGACAGGTGAGGGACAGCTCAGTGTAGGAGGAGCCTGGAGTCTCCTTCGTTCTGTGCTTATTCATTGGGGCACCACCTCCTAGGTCTTGTAAAGATGTATTGGTGGTGCAGCCAGTTAGGTATAGGGCTGCAAACCCCAAAGTCGGCGGTTCTAGCCCAGCAGCCCACTCGACAGGAGCAAGATGAGGCTGTCTGCTCCTGTGGAGATTTGCAGTCTCAGAAGCCCACAGGGGCAGTGCTCCTGTCCTATCAGGTCTCGGTGAGTCCCTACTGCCTGGGTGGCTGTGGATCAGTGGGTGGGTGTGCAAAAAGGGATTTGTAAACTTTCTTCAAGGACAAGAAAGTATGTGGAGCACCTATTGGTCCTTTGGCATATGCCTTCGAGCCTAAATTAAGCACCTACTGTGTGCTAACGTAGGGAGTCCTGAGATCCTAATTGCAAGGCCAGGACTAGCTGCTCCATCAGAGAAAGATAAGACGTTCTACCCCCATAAAGAGTTTGTCTCAGAAACCTGCAGGGTGCAGTTCTACCCTGTCCTGTCGGGGGGCGCCATGTCTCGGCTTCCCCTCCACATCAGGGAGCTCTTGGTTCTAGGTGCCAGTGTTGACAGGAGAGACCGGTGCTCCGAAAAAGGACAGCATGCTTCGTAAAGTAGAAGGAACGGGTGCCAGGCAGAGAAGGGCAGGTGCCAGTGCCCAGGGAGGGGCACAGCCAGGCTGGGGAGGATCGGAAGAGGTGCATGGTGGGTGACCAGTGGTCAGACCCTGGTCCGAGGGCCGTTCTATTCGTGCTGTTATGAATGTACTCGGGAGCCACAGCAAGGTTTTGAGCAGGTGAGGAGCAAGCTCTAATCCACACCTGGAAAAGCTCCCTCCAGTGCTGGCTGTGGGATGCCCCTTTCTGGGCTGGGGACACAGGACTGGGATGGGGGCAGAGTAAGGCAAGGGCCCAGACCCAGGGGGAATGCCCCCACCCCCCACAGCCTCCCCTGAACCTTGGGTGGGGGGGGGGAGTGGCAGGGAAACAGCTGGAGCTGCATCCAGGGTCCCTGCTTCAGATGATTTGCACTGTTGCCCCCAGCTGGCCAGGACTGCCTGCTCAGGGGGCCCTGAGTGCCTCGGGAGGCCAGCCTGGGTCCCTCCCTGTGCCTGCATCCCGGAAATGTCCAGGATGGTTCACCCAGGGGTCCTCCTGCCCAGATGGAGTCAGTCCTTGGGGAGGTCCCCGGGGGACCCCTACCCAGCATGGGGCCAGCAAGCCGGAAGTGCTTGTCTCTGCTCCTGAATGCTAAATGAATGAGTGGATGAGGGAATGAGTGAAGAACCACGAACAAGTGCACAGAGAGGGGCATGCAACCTGGCCCTGGCCACGCCCTCCAGAGCCCGACCCCCAAGCCCCGCCTCACACACCCCCACACCCTTCCCGCAGGCGTGGTGGAGATCCGCTCGGTCCGCGTGGGAGTCGTGGTCATCAAAGCCGTCTACGCAGGCTTCTACGTGGCCATGAACCGTAGAGGCCGACTCTACGGGTCTGTGAGTGCCGGGCGGGGTCCCTGGGCGCTGAGAGGGGCATGGGGTGCGGGGTGGCGGCCTCACCACCCCCCACCCCCGCAGCGAGTCTACACTGGCGACTGCAGGTTCCGCGAGCGCATCCAGGAGAATGGCTTCAACACCTACGCTGCGCTGCGCTGGCGCCACCGCGGACGGCCCATGTTCCTGGCACTGGATGGGCGCGGGGCCCCCCGGCGCGGCAGCCGGACGCGGCGCCACCACCTGTCCACCCATTTCCTGCCCGTGCTGGTGTCTTGAGGGCTCAGAGGCCGGCAGGGGCCTGTTGACCAACTCAGAGCACAGAGCTGGCCTGCCACTCTGGGAGACGCCTGAGCTGCGGACAGGCAGCCCTCCCCAGAGCAGAAATTGAGCACCTGCCTCCTGGTACGGGGCACTGGGGTCACGGCAGGCTTGCGACCTATGGCCAGCACTCCAGGAGCCCCAGTCTGAGGAGTGAAGAGGGGGTCCAGCAAGGCGGCTGGAAAGGCTTGGGTGGGGCCACCCTGAGCTGAGGGGCCAGGGTGGTGGGCAGACCAGGCTGGAAAAGGGGCTGGCCCAGCAGAGGGACAAGCCCATGTGACAGGCAGAATCGCAGCCCAAAGCCACCTGCCCATCCTGGTTCCCATCCCTGGGACATGTCCCGATGCTGGGCCGAGATGACCTTGACCATCCAGGGGCCCAGGGCTTCCAGGGGCCTGGTGGCAGGGTGGGCAGGCAGGCAGACAGGAGACTCAGGACTGGACATCCCTGACGCAAGGACTGCAGGGACCCCGAGAAGCTGGACACAGGAGCCATGGGAAGGAACCAGCAGCCCCCACACCTGACAAGGACAACTTGGACCCTGCAGAAGCAGGGAGACTGCCCTAGGGCTCCCATACTCAGGAAGGCTGGCCTGTTCCCCTTGGGACCCGAAGCTGGCAGGTGGTTGCAGCAGGTCCAGGCGGCTGTACGGACGTCGGTGCACTTCCCTCCCACCCAAGTAGTCCCACTAATAAACCCAGTTCCCAGGCTTCCGTCTCCTGGACAGTGGCAGAGGCTGGGAGTGGGGTGGGGCGCCAAATCCATACCTCATGGGCGTGTGGTACTCTGCCCTGCCTGCATCCACCTCCCTGGGTACCCCAAGTCCACCCTCTCACCTGCAGATGTTGGGCTCTGGCCTACCCGAGCTCACCCCCGAGGGCCTTGAGGGTCACGGACTGCCTGGCTGTAAAATGGGGGGCTATTTTGTCCTTCACCCCAGTGTCCTGAGAGGAACGTGTGGTGAGCATGTGCACGGGGGAGGCGCCCTTCCTTGGAACAGAGCTGTGGGGGAGGGGCAGGAGAGGTGACCAATGCAAACTGGTGCAGTGGACTTGGACTGCCCCATCCCAACATCCCCTCCATGCCCTGAGACCAGAGTCAAACTGTGCCTGGTGGCTACTGTCCACTGCACTGAAAAGGAGTCCGCTGGCAGGTCCTGGGTGGCATGGAAGGAACCTGCCCCCCCACCCCCAAGCTGCTTCAGCCAGACCGGACATGTCTGTACGGGAAGCGTGTGCCTGAGCCTGGTAACACCAGTCTTCAGGAGGGGAGCCTCCAGCAGGGCTGGACGAGAGGGTGGGGGCAGTACACTGGGGACACCATCAGCGATGTGGAACATAATACAGCCAAGATATCGAATGGACAACCTTCACCAAGCTCACAACACCCAAACCCTGCAGGGCCCAGGCTACCCCTCCCCTAGAATGACCTGTCCCTGCTCAGGGGCACAAAATCTGAAACATCCGTTCCATCCCGTACTTCAGAAAAAACTCCTGATGGTCACTTTGGGGCCTCCCTCCTGCCAGCATGGACTTCAACTTGGGCAGTGTGCGTGTGAGCACGTTAGGCCAGATCATGAGGTGCAGAGTTGGGTGAGGGGCGGTTGGAGCCCTGCCTGGGGGACACTAGGTGACATCTGGGGACATTTGTGCTTTTCCTGACTGGGTGCAGCCCAGGGTACTGGTCAACATCCCACCAGCCAAGCCCACCTCACGTCTCCCTTCCCCGTGGACCCTGGACTTAGCCACTCTGCAGATGGGCATGCAGTCACAAGCATCCCAAGACACCTCCCACATGTGACCACAGATAATGCCCTGCCACCCCAGGCCTGGGCCTGTCCTCAGCACTGAAATCTCACCCCCAGGGCCACACCTGCAGCAGGACAAGAAGTCCAGGGGCCAAGGCAGGCTCAAGGTCACTGGGGCAGGAGAGTGTGGCTAGGCCAGTCTCAGGAAGGACCTGCCCATATCCCATACTGGCATAGCTGTCAGGGAGGTGGCTGGCACATGGGATCAAGGGCTGTCCTTACAAGCCTCGCCAGCAGGCAGCACAGTGAGAGCCAGGCGCCAGCTGCTCCCCTCCTGGCTCTGGGAGAAGCACCACCTCCTTCTAGCTTCCCTGCCAGCAGCCCCTTCTGGGGTGTCCTGTGGGCCTCTGACGCAGACCTTCCTGCCTGCTGTCTGGACCAGGACCAGCTTCTGTCTCTGCACTCCCCGTGGTACTCCCATGGCAGGCTCTGACCCACAGGAGGCACCATGTCCACAGGGCAGGGAAGAATGAGGACTCCACAGGCCTGAGGAGTCAGTTGCAGGCAGCAAAGCCACAGAGCCCCTATGGCGTCACACACACGTGTCGGGTACATACAGCAGCAGGCCGCTGAGCTCTGGAGTCCCCCACCGCTGTGTGACAAAACCTCACGCCCAGAAATGGCACACACTGCCCAGATGGGTGGGCTGGTGCACTCTGCAGGAGGCGGGGTTAAACCGCTCTCGTGGGACCAAGGCTCCTTCTGGAAGATCATTCTCAGTCCTGGCAAGGGCTGTGCAGGCGTGGCCCTCTCATCTCCCACACATCATCTGTGTACGTGACCTGAAACGTCCATTTATTTCAAAGCAATAATAATTTAAACTTATAAAAACCTTTCCGTTGTTGGACACGTCGAGGGCAAGGTCAGGGGCAGGGCAGCTGGGTCTTGTCCGCAAGGCAGCCACGTGCCCAGGGCTCGGGCGTCCTCCGGAAGGCCAGCTGAACGGGGTGGCCGAGCTCCTCGCCCACCCCGGGGGCGCTCAGGCAGCAGAGCCGCTGATGGGGCACAAGGGTGGCGGCCGGGGCACCTCCGAGTCCGTGGGTGGCCAAGTGGTGTCAGGGCTGGAGGCCCTGTGATGGCTCCTCTGGGAGGGCAGGCAAGGACTAGGAGTTGCTGGCTGCGTGCTCGTTGCTGGGCGAGCTGGAGGAGGACGAGGAGGAGGACGAGGAGAAGCTCACCCGCGTCAGCCCCGGGGGGTTGGTGGCTGTGTTCTGGCCTGTGAGGCTCTTCCGGCAGACAGGGCAGCTGTCGTGCTGGTGGGGCAGACAGGAGTTAGGTCAGGGCGGGGACGGGAAGGGTGGGTGGGCCTGGGAGGGCTGCTTACCTGCTCCAGCCAGGGCACGATGCAGCCATTGTGGAAGAGGTGGTTGCAGGGCAGCTGGCGCACGCTCTCGCCCAGCGCGTAGTCGTCCTTGCACACGGGGCACTCGAGCCCGGAGCCTGCAGGCGGGGTGGGCAGGGGTCAGAGGGGGCGCCCATCCACTCACCCCCCACCCCCTACCCAGCTGGCCAGCGCACCTACGTGCTCCTGGGTGATGGGGACGGTAGGGAGGGCCTGGATCTTCTCCTTGTCTGCAGGTGGGGGTCCCGTGTTTTCAAACTGATTGAGCAGCTATGAGAAAAGAAGCAAATGCTGGGAACCCGGCCCCACGGGTAACAGTCCTTGGACTTTAAACTGCTGGTCAGAACCACCTGGGACACCATGCTCACTGCTGGTCCTGCCTGCAGCCCTACAGCTCCCACCAGCCCGCCCACAGGGGTCAGTGCCCACCTGGCAGGACCTGTAAACCCGCTGGCCTGCCCGTACCTGTGTGATGATGGCATCCAGGCCATTGGCCCCCCAGGCGTAGTCCATGGGGTTTGAGTGCAGGACGCCCCTGGGGGCAGAGAGGCGCATGTCAGCGCATCAGGGAGGGGGAGGGGGGTGGGGGTGGGGGTAGGGGGGCAGGTATGCCCCTACTCACCAGGGGCCCAGGCCCAGGTTGGGGATGGTGGCTGGAGTGATGATGCCATTGACTAGCTGCTGAATGATCCTGAAGGGGAGGAGGCGGGTCAGGGCTGGGGATGGCAGTCACAGCCCAGCAAGTGGGTCACGCAGGGGCACAGGCCGCTCACCCTTCCAGTGTGGGGACGCCCTCGTGGCGGCTGGTGGTGCGCCGGGCAGTGAGGCGGGCCCGGGGCTGCCGGGCACCGTAGCGGTGCCGGGATGGGTGTTCGCGCCGGCCCTCAGGGTCCCGGCCATCGTCAGGCTGTGCCCCAGAGGTAAGTGTAGGGATCTCAAAGCTGTCGTCAAAGATGCCAAAAGCAAACTGCCCGTAGCCCTGTGGCAGCGTGAAGAGGTGCTGGTCCACGTGCTGCAGGAGAGAGGCGGTGACCGGGGTGTCCAGGGCCTCAAGTTGCCCCACCCCCCGCACCACCCTCTCACCTCCAGAGGCTGTCTATTCTGGTCCGTGGGGGCTGTGGAAGGGGCAGAACCATTTTCCGAATTCCTGGGGGGGAGGTGCAGGAGGTGGGCATCAGCGGGTGGTGGCAAGGTCGCTGCCCAGGCGATACCAGTCCTTTTCTCAGGAATGTGCAGACCCTTGGTGGCCTCATCGGACGGCCACAGGCCAGGGCAGCACCTGCACATGCAGCATCTCTCCAGGCGGAGCCACACTCCCCTGGGGGCCCCAAAGGCATGCCCCCCACCCCTCACGCATTACCTGGGCTCTTCGGGCAGCTCTTCAATGAAACCTGACTCACAGCGTGGGCAGATGTAGTCCTGAGGGAGGCAGGGTGGGGAAGCAGGTCAGCGCCCAGTGGGGGGCAGGCCTGAGGGCCCACCTCCCACCGCAGGGTCACTACCCAACAGAGGACGCATTCACTCCTTGGCTGCAGGGAGCCCCGGGCAATGTTAGGGAAGGTGACAGAAGTGTGTCCAAGGAGCAGGGACAGCCCACTTTCTGGGCCTGACTCCGGTGCTGCAGCTCGGCGTGCCCCCAGCAGGGGGTCACAGGATGATCTTCTGAAGCTGCAGGCCCTCATTTCCCCCCCCAACACACACACACCACCTCACAGTCACACCCAGAACCATCCCCACTAACAGACACTCCCATGACACACTCATCCCCACGAACACTGACACTCAGATGCATCCCCCCCAACACTGGCACACCTAAGGACTCACACCCATTTAGACACTCACAGCCATTGACGCTCACTGACACACCCACGGATTCACACCCACAGACATGTCAACACATCCACTGAATAGTCCCTGCCACACCCAAGGACTCACACTGTCGCACCGCTCACTGATCCACACCCAATGATATTCACACTGATGGACACATCCACTGACACCCCAAGGACTGCCACACCCACAGCTATACCCACCCAATGGCATGCCCCAGGATTCACACCCACTTAAGACACGCTGGTCTTTCAGACCCAGGGACACACTCACTGACACTCGCAAAGGACTTTCACAACCAGACACACCTACACATCCATTGGCACACCCACTCACAGATGCTCATACCTGCTCCCTGACACACCCGGAGACACACCCAGTGACTCAATCCCACTCACTGCACACCCACAGACTCCTACCAGGCACCCCGCAAACCACACTGACGACACAAACCGACACCTACACTCGCTCACTCCCCTCACTGACAGGCCGACCTAACACACTGCCACACAGGCAGTCCCCTCCACACACGCACTCACACTCACAGAGGCCCGCCCCCTCGACACAGCACTCACACACTGACTTGTCTGTGGGACCCAAGTGGATCCTCAGAAGGCTCAGCCCTGGGCAAGGCTGGGGGAAGCCCCTCCCCGCCCCCAGTCCAGCTCCCGGATGGCTGTCACTGCACGCACTGCACACACAGCGACTAGGAGAGTGTGGACAGCTTCTTCCCGTGACTCTGGGACAAAGAAAGTACAGAACAGGTATGGGGCAGGCACAGGAGGGGATGTAGCCCTGAGCTCACCCCATAACTGCCTCTCTCCCCTCAGCCTGCACCTCAGTCTGCCTTTCTGGAAAAGGGGCCGCTGCGCTCTCCTCCCCCTCAGGCTCCTCCCCCTGCCGGGCTGTGGCTGGCTCAGCACCTCCCTCCCCAGATAGCTACCTGGCTTGCCCCCTCTGGAAGTCGGGCCTCTCAAACGCCACCTCCGGCGTGTGCCTCGGTCTCCCCACCTGCAAATGGAGGACATCCTCAACACCTCAGCTCTGACTCAGTGTGCCCAGGGCGCAGCGGGCCAACCCCACCCTGACGCCCTGCGCAGCTGCAGCTGGGCACGCAGTGTGTCCCTGCAAGGGGACGCCAACTCACGGAGGCGGCAGCTTCCCCAGGGAGGAGAGCCCAGAACGGCAGTGCCTGCCTCCGTTCAGGGGCCCCAGGCCCATGCTGCTCAGCCCCACATGTCCAGGCCCCCACAGAGGCAGGCAGGGGCTCGTCAGGCAGCCACCTCCTTATCTCTGGCCCCACTGTCTCTGCACCAGCCTAGGCCAGTATTTGTCCCCTGGGTTCCAGCAGCACAAAGTCCAAAGTTCTGCACTGTGCTGTTGGTCTGTCCATCCCAGGCCCTGGGTGGGCCCCTGCCTACCTGCCTCCCTGCCTGCTTGTCCCACCCCCTACTCTCACAGGCAGCACACAGCCTGTCCGGCCATCTGTCCTGCGTGCTAGCCCTGGTGTTGCCCTGGCAGTGGCCACTGTATCCATGTGACGGGCTGTCCGGCAGCTCCAGATCCCTGTGCATGCCACATGTCCCCAGGGGGACACAAAGCAAGGGCAGTATGGGGCCTGGGGCCAGGTTTCCAGGCAGCAGTGCCCCCAAATATACAAATGTCCAGAGCCTAACCCAGCACATAGGGTCCTGGGGCTTGACATCCACTGAATCCCAGAAATCTCCATGAGGGCCCTCCCCCAACACAGGGTCCTACTGACTACAGGAGATAACTGGGCCTGGGTGGGCTTGAGCCGCTCTAGGATCTGGCACCCATAAGCCCCATTCCCCTGCTGTCCTTATGGGCACTGCCCACACTCTCCGTGCGCCCCACGGGACAGATGGGCAGACTGAGGCCAGGGGAAATGGCCTGGATCAGGCTCTCACCAAGAGTCACTGGGCAGTCGGAACATTCTGAAGGCTAGGACAGGAGTCAGTCCCTTCTCAGTTGCAAACACACATTTCACAAAAACCTCAGACTCCTAGGATTAGACTGCATCCCCACTTCAGGGCTGGCTGTGTCCACCAACCGACATTAACTTGTCCAGTCCTGCCTGGACCTCATACAGCAGAAGCCAAGGCCCTGTCCCACAGACCACAGCACTCTGGTCACCTCCTCCAGGAAGCTTCCCAGACGTGTACACACACACACACACACACACACACACACACACACACACACACACACAGTCTCTCTCTAAGTTGTCTGCTCACACGGAACAATGCGTGTGGAGCCTAGTGGTGCTGTGGGTCAGGCTACTAAACAGCAGGGACACACGAAGCTGGCTGTACTCAAGACAAGTTTCCAGTCCCCTGTAGGGGTTGGGGGTACAAGCGTCCACTCTGGTCTCTAGGGACAGGTGGGTCAAGGTGGCCTTGGTAGCAGCGGGTTCTGTTGTGTGACAGTGTGTTAACAAGCTCAAACACCCCCAGGGGCAGCTCTGCCCCAGCCTGGATGGTCATGTGTCGCTGGCAGTGGGCTTGGGAGGTGGAGGTGAGTCTGTTAACAGGTTCACATACCTGGACGGGCGTGTCTCTGCTCCCCTATAAGGTCCCTAGGGGTTGGGTCAGGTGGCCTTGGTAGACAGCAGTGGGGTTAACAGGCTCGGACACCTGGGGGCGACTCTGACCCGGGCTACAGGGTCACGTGGGTTGGTAGCCATGGTGGGTGGCAGTGGGGTTAACAGCTCGGGCACCTGGGGTCGACTCTGCCCCAGTCACGTGGGTCGGTGACCCCGGTAACTCGCGGACCCCCCCGCAGGGTCGCCGGGCCTGGCCGGGAAGGTGCGCATCCCCGTTGGCCACCAGGTCCGCTCAGTCCACTAGCTCCCGGGCCGCGGGCCGGCCAGTGACCAGGAGGGCCGCCGTGGAAGGTCAGGCCGAACTAGAGGGGCAGCCCCCGGCACAGGAAGCGGTCGCCACTTCCGGCGCCCCGAGTCCGCCCGTCCCGAGCCCCAGGCAGCCGCAGGAGCGGGACGGGGCGGAAGCCCCCAGCCCCCTACTCGCTCCCTTCCGGATGAAGCCGGCCACTCGGCCTCCGTCTGCCCCCCGCGCCGTGGCCCGGCCTCAGGCCTGAGGGCACGGGCCCGCCTGCCCGCCGCCGCCGCCGGGCCTCACCGGCAGGCGCGGAACGATCTCCACAGAGCAGCAGTGGCAGAAGTACCGTCCGGGCTGCGGCGACGCTTCAGCCATGGCCCCTGCCGCCTGCGCCGCGCTGACTGCCCCCCGCGCGGCGCCGCCGCCGGCCGTTTGCTGCTCCCTCGCCGGCCGACGCTCACGCACACGCATGCCCACGCACGGCACGCACGACGTGTGGAGGCGCGGGAGAGCCGCGGCGTGCGCGGCGGGGCGTCGGGCTGGGCGACGGCGGCCGCCGAGGGGCAAACTAAGAGCGTCGGAAGCGTGGGCAGCCAGGCTGAGAGGCGGGGCCGTATTCTGGGACTATGCGCCTCACGAGGGGCGGAACCTGCGCGGGGCGGAACCAGGTTTCCTTGGTAACCCCGGTCTGCAGCTCCCGCCGGAGTAAGGCGGGGTCAGGTCTCATTAGGGGGCGGGGCCTTGCGAAAAAAAATAAGCGGAGGGCGGGACCAACTCTCCTTGGCAACCCTGGTCTGCAGCTCCCGCCGGAGTAAGGCGGGGTCAGGTCTCATTAGGGGGCGGGGCCTGGCGAAAAAAATAAGCGGAGGGCGGGACCAACTCTCCTTGGCAACCCTGGTCTGCAGCTCCCGCCGGAGTAAGGCGGGGTCAGGTCTCCTTAGGGGGCGGGGCCTGGCGGGACCAACTCTCCTTGGCAACCCTGGTCTGCGGGCGGGGCCTGAGAGGGGCGGGGTTAGGTCTTCGGCAACCCGGATGTAGTGCGGGGCCCCGAGAGAAGAACGCCGGGGGCGGAGTCGAATCTCCTTGGTAACCGTGGTATGGGGCGGGGCCAGGGCGGAGATCGCCGGAGGCAGGGCCTGCGCGGGGCGGGGCCGAGTCCCTACGCGGAAGCCCCCCAGCCCTCATGGTGGCTCTCTGCGACCCGCGTGTCCTCTATGTCCTGGGACTCGGTGTGGGGCGCGCCGCCACCTCCGGGCCTTTGCACTGTCTGCGCCCTGCCCCACAACCCCCGTGCCCTCCTCGAATGTTACTTTCTGGGCAGAATAATTCCCACCTGCTGGACTGGAAGGCCGTCTCCACGCCAAAGAATGCGGGCAGGGGACCCTCTACTGGGTCGAGAGAGAAAGAGAGTGCGCCCCTCGGGCTTACCCAGTCCCGTGGTGTAGGAGGGGGCCAACTCACAGCGGCCCTGTGGGACACAGTAGAACTGCCCCCATAGGATTTCCATCGTTAGGGGAGTAGAGTTTCAACGAACTCCGAGTAGTGGCTGGCGATTTCGAACCTCTGACCTTGTGGTCAGCAGTGCAGCGCTACTGCAGCACATCGTGCATTCGTGTTCTTTATTCACTCAGCAAACATCCCGACAGGTCCTGGGCTCCTGAGACTGTGGACATGGTGTCCTGGACTTCTCCCTGAGCTGTGGGGAGACAGCCCCCGTGGGGAGCTGGCGCTGCTTTGGGAGGGCTTCGGGGCGGGGGCTGGAGCCCGGATTTTGTGGCGTGGGTGGGACTTGATTGGAACCTGTGTGGGAAGCCAGGAAGGGACTCGATGGATGGCTGCCCCCTTCCATTCCCTCTCTGACCACCAGAGGGTGCGCCAGCCCTGTCACTGGGGATCCAGCCCAGTTCCCAGGGTCCTACCACACCAACAGTCCCGCTTCAGACACCCATGAGGTCCCTCCTGAGTTCCAAGCCCACCGCCCAACACACTGGCTGTGTGACTCTGGGCTAGTCACTGAACCTCTCTGAACGGATGGCAGAGCCTACCTCCATGGCTCGAGGTCTGTAGTGACCTGTGACTTCCTCTGCCCCCTCTCCTGGCCCTCCCCAGTCTTCTTGGTGCGCGGGAGGGATACACTGCTGGGAGAGCCCAGCCCTGTCCCTCCTCTTTCCTCTCTTTCTGGGAGGGTGCACTAGGTCTCCTCATCACGAGGGGGGCAGCCATTCCTTGTACCCCACTACTTGCTGCCCCATTCCCCCAGCCACCCCACACCAAGGAGTTAGAGTGCTCCCCAAACAGGGCTGTCATACCAGCACCAGTAGCTGCTGCATAGATCCTAATTCATGAAACCTCAGTGAGTGTATGCTGGGTGCAGGAGCCCTGGTGGCATAGTGACTGTACTTTGAGCTGCTAACCACAAGGTCAGCAGTTCAAAACCACAAGCAGCTGATCCTTCAGTGAAAGATGAGACTTCCTGGTGCCGTAAAGGGCCATCGGTCCCTGGCCTTTATGCTCAGCACAGCCTGAGACCCCTCATTAAAGTGGGGGACAGGCTCAGGCAGGGTTTCACACAGGGCTGTCTGGAGCCCAGACTGCAGGCCCCACACCAGGGCTGCTTGTCCACTAGACCAAAACCTGGGCTGTGTCAACTCAGATGGGAGCATGCCCCATGGCCCTTGGGTCCCATTTGTGACAACGGTTGGCTGTCCTAGGACATGAGAGCTGGGCAGGCCCCCTGTTAGATTGTGTGTGTGTGTGTGTGTGTGTCTAAACAGATTTACCACCTTCCCTAGGAAAGAACATGGAACTAGATTATGGAGCTAGATTCTGGAAATGGAGTAGGGGTGACTCCCTCAGGCCCTAGGGCAGGCTCAACTCTGAGAGTAAGCCCATGCCTCCCCTCTTAGGCCCCCAGGACAGGGCTGTGTCTCCCCCCTCGGACACCCAAAGCAGACTCTCAGTTCAGGGCTATGCCTTCCCTCCCAGATGCCCCCAGGACACTCCAGAACAGAGACATGTCTTCCCCTTTGTGAGGAACAGAAGGATTTCTCTTGTTGTCTCCCCAAAATATATGCCAGACTTAGCTTGAGAAT